GAATTGCCTCTAAATCGGATTGTCCAAGGAGGCTATGATGTAGCAGTGGGCTAGGGAATTCTTTTCTTCCCATTCCTGGTAGTCCCTCCTTCGGGCCTCAAAAGCCCTATCACCCAGATGCTCCGGGGCAAGATTCTTTGCTTCCTTGTCCAATTTTTCAGAGGTTAGGACCAGCATAAGATTACGGTACCAGTTAGCATAGTCAGGTCCCTTAAGTTTGTTGTCGTCCAACAACTTAGCGAATTGTCCATTTTCCATTTCTGATAAAAAGCAAACATTAGTCCACAACCTAATTTGATTCATGTTATCTACATAAATATGGCTTTTAATCTATGTTCCATTTCCATTTATTCATCTCCAAGATTTCCCTCCTATCTCAGTGACGGAGACTACGAATTATGTCTCTAGAAATGTGGGAAATCACATAGGGTGCATGGAGACAACTGTTTCATCTGCATAACCTCACCACCTTTTTGTGAAGGATCATATCCACTCATCGTATGAGCTTTCCCTTTGGCCTCTGTCAAACAAGGTTCATTGCCATTTTAGGTTAAACCTTTTATGTCTAGTGAGTGCTCACCCATCATATTCGTGAACACCAAGGTACCACGAGAGAGTCTTCCATTTTAGGATAGGCCCCTCCCACATCGGTCTATGATGCCCCTATCATCTTATGAAACATTCCAACAGATCTAGCAACAAATGGATAGCCCAATTTTATGGTGTATTTCCTCATTACTGAAGGACCCATCTTCATGCTAATGATGGAAGGCCTTTACAGAGTACATCATATGAATCTCCCTATCACATGCACTCATATTTCAGGAGGGAACAAAAGTTATGCGCTAGTTTAATTTAGGTCAAACCAAAGTGGCTCCCATTGACTTTCATAAAACTAGATTTCGATGGGCCCTAAATGGCTAGGGTTCCGCACGGTTCCTATTTAGGGAGGTGTGGGACCCACCACAAAGGGAGATCATCAAATGATCTTTAGGGGCACCATGGCAATGATGTGCATTCAGCCATGATGTGCGCAAGAGCCACTATCGCATCTGCATGGGCCAAGTACTTATGGCCCATGTACGTTGCACATCACACATCCATACATCACATGCAAGGATAGAATTGATACAATCAATTAATATTTATAAAGCCCATTATTAAAGCCCAATTTAACCCATAATATTACTGATTAATATTATCTAGGTATATGGGCTGAATAGCATTAAGCAGTTCGGCCCATATAGCTTTTCTACAATTGGTGGGCTTTAGCAGTTTTAACTCCTTAAAATTGGGCCTTACAAGTGTGGGCCGAATTAAGTCTCAAAATTAAACATCAATCCCTTGACCCAAAAGTGGGAAATTAGGGATGAGAACAGCCCCCATCAAACCACAGATTTGGTCCAACCAGTTTGGTCCAATTTGGTTCGAATGGGTCTAGGGTTTGATTTTCAATTCAAGAATTAATTCAAGAAATTGATCTGAAATTAATTATTGATCAAAGACAATCAAAAATCAGTAATAGGGCTGTTTCATATCTCCCAACCTGCAAAACAGATGTTAGATCATAGTTTGCAGTTTCATAAACTACAAATCGCAGATAGCGATTTCCTTATCTACGAATTCTACTTCTCTTGCGCAGCCATCTTCGATCATGAAATAAAATAAATAGAAAACCCTAATTTTTCTATTAATATTACATCAGATCGAATTCCAATACATTCAGTCTAAAAATTAAAAAAAAAATTAATTACAAACAAGAAAGTAAAAATCTGCAAATCACAGATATCTTGTGCCTAATAAAGAGTTCGATCTCCTTTGTACGAACAGCCCATAAATCAAGAAAATTATAAAGAACAATTCTAAATATATTTCAGATTTATAAAGAATTAATTTCAGATCATTCGCCCTTGATCTGGGAAACAAATTCCCAAAAAAACCACAATCTGCGCAAATTGGGTAGAATGCCTTCTACCCATTTGCGTAGGTTCAGATCGGATCTATTTCGGTTCAAGATTTGAACCTGGCTTTGATACCACTGAAGGGATGAGAGGTCCATCATATGGATTGCCGAACCCTGCAAGTAGATAGGGTGAAATTTCAAAAATTTCTCTCCCATGTGGGAATCACATTCCCTGTTTTAGAAAATTTGCATTTTCAAGGATCAATCTTGAACCTAAACCAAACCAGTTCTGAAACCAAAAGGTAGGAGAGGGACATACCTGAGATGAAGAAACAATATCTCCCAATGAAGGTGTTCACACCCATGGAAAACTCCAAAGACTGCTCCCACTGAAGATGACACAACGTAGGGTGGAGCAGAATCAACAGGTTCTTTACAAGAACCGAATCCTTCAGCAAGAATTCGATGGAGGGTATGTGGGCACAACTTCAGATCAGTTTTTCCCCAAAAACTGATATCATGAACTCTTCTTGAATGCTCCTACAATGGAGATCGAACTGGCAAAGGCAGCAGCAGGAGGAGGGCACAAGAGCAGAAGATGGCGTAGTCTTACTGTAGTTGTCTTCTCTCTTTCTGTGATCTGAGATCTGTTGTGATGAGATGTATGGAGGTTCACCCTCCTCCTCCTTTTATAGCCTTAAAGAGAGCTCCTAATCTCATTAGGAGCTTCCTAATCCAAATCTGTATTTGGATCAAGACTTCTCTTTAAGAGATAAGGATAATTCCTTATCTTATCTGTAGATTAGATTAGCCCCTCCTAATCTTATTACGAGTTTCCAAATCCAAATTTGTATTTTGATCTGGACTCTCTGAGTGGATAGGGATAACTCTTTATCCTATCTGCTCATCCAAATCCCAAATCTGCCCCCTTCTTTAACTAATCAAATTAGACCAATTTGAATTGGGCTTTAGGCCCATTAAGTCTATGTACTCACTAACCTTCCAAACTACTGCCCAATTGGGTTTCCTTGTATGGTGTGGGACCCAAACATTGAGCTACACATCAGCCACATGGGTTCAGCCTAGCCTTTGTTACAAGGCCTGGCCGAATTCACTGTTATGGGCAGTGAACCCCTGAGCCCATCACCATGGGCTCTTAATGGAACCAACACTAAAACTAAGTGGTCCCTGGGCCAAGCCACCTTAAAAAACCCAGGGACAATGAGCAGATGCAAGATAATCCCATCAGGTACTACCCTCAATGGTCTTACACTTAACCTCTCAGCCCATAATGATCAAACACTGCCCGACAAGAGAGGACCTCTCCCTCGGCTGCAAGGAAAAGTGTTGCACTCTCTACTCACATGGATCCCGGGAATTAAAACCTTCTGCAAACAATTTGAAACCATAATATATATGTATATTTTTATATAAATATATTTTGCAAAACAAATTTCAATGATTGAAATCGGCTGCCGGCAGCTTTGGTTTCCATCAGAGAGAGTGCATTCCCGATCATTACCTTTGTCCGACAAAGGGGCTGGTCTTGTCACTATGATCACCCACTCAGATAAATTCTTAGACTATCCCAACATACCTAGGTTTTGACCCCCTCTAAGGATCTCATTGATTGGCATATCAAATATAGCCCAATCTGACACCTAGTGCAGTATCATAATCGAGTATAGGGGTCAGGTGTAACCTTCCAATTTTGCCCATCAATCTCCATGGTCCTGGGCAATATTGGAATTCTGGTCTGGTTCTGGGTTTCAAGTAAACCTACACTGCATGTACCTCGGGTCTCACCCTAGCAGCTGAGACAAGCCACCCCAACCAAGTTGGCGGCACATCAGTGTCAGCCTTGGTAGGATAAATCTCCCCAGACTTACCCAACGACTATGAACATTTTAAACTAACACGAGTCTCATATGTGTCCAGTTTAAGAGTTTTACACAGAAACACACCATAATAACACGAATCAAACATGTACTTTATTAATTTACATTAAATGTCATAAGGTACATCATTCTGATTGGAGCTAAGGGCATACACTATCTAACAGGTGGACCAACCAAAGACATCAGCATTAGTTCTCAGGAAACTTACCAGTTTGGATAGGCATTCAGGGGGAAGGTTGGACCCGATGTGGACTATCTTGTTAGGGTTTGCCTCGTCCAAGGGAACCGAGACGATGTCCTCAGTCGGCTGGCTTCGGCTTGCAGGCTCTTCCCTGAGGTCGGCTGGCCTCGGTGGGAAACTTAAGGGCTTGGTGATAGGAAGACATGGCTACACTTAGCGCGTGGAGGGTTGGCCTCCCTATTATTGCATTGTAGGGGGAGCCAACATTCACTACTAGGAACTCATGCATCCAAGTGACCTATTCCGATTCCGTCCCTACCGTGATGCACAGAGTGATCTTTTCCTCCGATTTGATGACACTACTAGAGAAGCCGATGAGGGGAACGTCAACTGGCTAGAGCCGCTCAGGCGCAAGCTTTATCTTTTCGAAGGTGTCATAGAAGAGGATTTCAGTTAAGGAGCTGCTATCCACTAGAATTTTCTTTACCATGTAGTTCGAGATGATCGTTGCGACTAGGAGGGCATCGTCATGGAGAACCGTGACCCCCTTCAGGTCCTCATCTGTGAAGACGAGGGCCTTTGGATAGCTCGGTTTCTTTGGAGCATCTGGGTACTTCTGCTTCTTCTGGGTTGGCCTCTGGATGTTTAGCTGCCTGGCGTAGGCCTTGCGGGTTGAGGCTGAGGCTCCACCTGAGGCCATGACCCCAATGAAGACATTGATGACACCTGCCACTTGCTGGTGTTGTTGCTACTGTTGTTGCTGCTGGGAGGACAAAGCGCCAACCTCTCCCCCAATAAACTGCTTAAGGTGTCCATAGCGAATGAGGGACTCTATCTCATTCTTGAGATCGTAGCAATCCTCCGTATCATGTCCGGTGCCGCAGTGGTACTTCCAGTATTTTTAGGGTATTCCCTTCTTGAGGTTCCTCTTCATCTTCTCAGGCTACTTTATGTACTTATCTTCCATGATTTGCATCAATATCTGGGTACGGGTGGAGTTAAGTTGCATGTATTCATGCTAAGCCAGGGCTGAGCCCTGTAGCTTCTTGTTATCCTTGCCGCTATGGTTGTTGGGATGGTGGTGGTCCCTGCCCTTCCTCTTCTTCTCCAGGGGCCCATTATGGCGCTCGATTGCCCTCTCCTGACTGTCCCCAACTGAAGCCTCTTCGGCTGCGATGTACTTCTGGGCCTTTTTGAGGAACTTCAGCTTTGTCTTCGATGGGGTCTTGGCGACTGAGCACTTGAGGGTTGAACCGAGAAGGAGCTCGTTGATGGCGGCGTGCATGGAGACCATGGGGTTGAGGTCTCGGACATCGAGCTCTTCCTTTTTGAAGTGGTTGATGTAAGAACATAGACTCTCACCTGATTTCTATTTAATTGACATTAGCAAGACTACACTTTTTCGACATCATCTATTTTTGATGAAGCGAGCAAGGAATAGGCTAGTAAACTGCTCCCATGAGTCGATTGACCAAGGTGGGAGGTTGGAGAACCAACGGCGAGCTGCCACCCTAAAGGTGACCTCGAAGGTTCGGCATGTCAAGGCATCGGAATACCCATAGAGTAACATGAGCGCTCTGAAACCTTCTAGGTGGTCGTCGGGGTGGGAGCTCCCATCATACGTCTCCAGCATGGGAGGCTTGAAGTGCTAGGGAAGAGGCGCCGAAATGATGTCCGAGGTGAAGACGTCCATCCTTCCCGTCTGACTGCTTTGGTTGGCTGAGGCATTAGGTTGGCTTTTGTGAACTTATTAGAGGTTCGAACTTGGCTTGCAGCTCCGTGATATGAGGGTCGGTGGGAGCCTTTGCCCCCCTTTGTCTTCACGAGCTTGATGAGGGTCGGCTCGGATCTTGGAGTGCTCCGAGGAAGGATGCGTGCCACTCATTTGGCACGGAAGTCATTTAGGACGTCGCGAAGGTCAAAAACTAGAGGGGGAGAGGTGTGGCGTTGGTCCACAGCCCTAGAATAGGCGCTGTAGCAGCCAAATCGTCTACCATCGTCCCGAGTGTTGTCCCATCTACGACGGTGGTGCTACTTAGAGGGCTGGTCATTGCCTTTGGACACTGCTGGTTCTTCCTCCCTTCGACTGGGAGGCCTTCTATTCCACCGAGGTGGACTGAGGGGTTGGCTACTACCCGACTCAGAGGGCTCGACTGTCGAGTATTGGCTCGACCGAGGGCTAGTAATTCGGCCTGCTCCTGCAGACCCTTGTATTTAGACACCCTAGTGGGGCGGTCACCTCAGGAGGGACCTCCTGCCTAGGGCACCCTTGTTCCACACAATGTGTGAGGTATTCCAGACGATTGAGGACCACCTAGAACTACTTGTTTGTAACCAGGTTCTAAGTGTTCTTGGCTCTTCGTACCATGGTGTTTGAAGCTGGGGAGGTTTTTTAGTTCTTAATGCTTTAAGGGATCATCTTAGCAACGCTTCCCATAGAGGGCACCAATTGTTGGTGCTCGGGTTGGCCGAGGACAACAAGGTAATTTTGCTCCCAAGCTTCAATGAGGATGGCCGAGGGCTTCGAAGGTCCGAAGGAAGGGAAGCTGAGGCCGAGGACTATGTCCAAAGTGGTAGGTCTCTTCGAATACTGTAGGATCCGAAGACTCGCCCCTGGTGCAATGTGTGAGGGGTCCAAAGGAGGTCCTGCAAGGATAGAGGTGTTAGAGGCCTCGGGTAGTTACCCGAGATGAGGACTCCGATGATTAAGTTAGTACAAGTGTAAGGTGAATCCGAGGTCTGGCGCCGAAGGGCCTAGACAAGGACTTAAATAGCACTCGAGTTCTCCTGAAGGAAGTAATGCTTAGAGGTTACTTAAGTACTCAGGAGAATTCAGAGAATCTATCCCCTTACCTTGTGGGGGTGCTTCATATTTATAGCTAGAGTTTCCTGGGAGTAGTTGGGCCTAGATGGTCAAGATACAAGCTGTACAAGGGCCTGACAAGATCATCCACCCGAGCTACATGACACCCTTGGATTGGGTTTGCGCGGTCTACTTCTGAGCCATGAGTGTCCTCATTGTACACTCAGGTTAGTGCCCTCCAGTTCGACACGCATCAGCTCCTTACTGACCAGCCAAATGCACCTACATCAGTATATATAACATATAAATACTTTTGCAAAACCAAATTTTAAACACAGGTGAAATCTACAATCGACAGTTTAGGTTTCCACTAGAGAATGTAAACCCTTATATTCACTTTGTCCAACACTATGAGCACCCACTCAGGTGAATTCTTAGACTTCCCCAACATACCCAGGTATTTGACCCTTAATGGATCTCATTGGTTGGCATATCAAAGATAACCCAGTCCAACACCTTGTGTAGTACCATAATCAAGTCTGGGGTTATGTGTCACTTTATAGTTTTGCCCATCTATCTCCAAGGCTTAGGGCATAACTGGAAATTGGTTTTGGTTCAGTGCTTCTAATAAACACCCACTAGCTATGCTTGGGGTCTAACCCTAACTAGGTCTGCGACATTTCCTGCTGATGTTACCTTTTGAATCTGGATGTCTCCTCTACCAACAATCTCCCATAGAACCAATGTTGTCACACAACAATGGAATGGGTGATGTGGTATGACTCCAAATTTTTGGATGAATTTCTTCATCCATACTACTTATTTGGAAGCCTCACTTACGACAATGTCCTTGGCCTCAATCGTGGACTAATTTTCTAACCCACTACACAAGATACTAAATGTATCTAAATATAAACTTTCTATCATCTAGATCAGACTAGAAATTGGCATATGTATACTCGACCATTTGTAGTGAACTACCATCAAATACAAGACAATAGTCTTTAGTTCTTCATAAGTAATTTGGTATGTTTTTTATAGCAATTCAGTGCTCTTGTCATGGGAAGGATCGATATTTATTCACACCACTTACAACCTAAGCAATGTTTGTCCGAGTGCACAACATAGTATACATGATGCTCCTTACAGCAGAGGCATATGGAACTATTCTCCTGTCCTCTATCTCCTAAGTGGTCTTTAGGTGGCATTCCTTTGGAGAGAGTGACTCCATGTCTAAACAGAACAAATCCCTTCTTGTAATCCTGTATGTTAAATCTTTTGTCAATCTTGTCATTGTAAGTAGATTAGGACAATCCAATTAACCACTTTGACTGTCGTAACCTTTTCCCAAAATCAAATTGTTTGACTGTTGAGTCAAATCAGATGTTCTATCTTCTAAATGCTTGCTTTAATCCATCTGATGTATTTAAGCATAGTCATAGGCATGAAGGTTTCCTCATAATCAACTCATTCTTTTTGAGTGTAACCTTTCCCCACAAACCAAGCTTTATAGGTCTAAACCCTTCCATCAGGTCTCTTCTTCCTCTTGTAGATCCACTTGCAACCAATTGCTTTCACCCTAGGAGGTGGGTCTACGAGATTCTAGGCTGTGTTGGTTTTCATCGAGTCCATCTCGACTTTCATGAAATCTACCCACTTCAAGGAGTCTATGTCTAACATAGCTTTCTTATTAAGTTAAGAGATCTTCTTTACTGTTCATGGCTTCCATTAAGTAACTTTCTTGATCATAGCCAAAACGTACAAGAGGTTTAAATACCCGGGTAGATCTTTTAGGCCTGATATTGTCATTTAGAATTTGTAGACTAACTCCTACTACCCCTGAGCCCTCCTTATCAAGAAATCACTTCTTAATGATGATTGTTCAGGATGTAGTCCTCTTCTAAGAAGTGGGCATTTCGACTAACAAAAACTCTTTGTTCTTGTGGGTCATAGAAAAGATACCCAATAGAGTCCTTGGGGTAGCCTACAAATAAGCAATAACTTGTTTTGGATTCCAATTTGTCTATACTTGTCTTTTTGACATGTATTGGACAACCCCGTATTTTCAAGTGTCTAACACTTGGTTTCTTGCCACTCCAAAGCTCATAAGGAGTCTGAAGAACCAACTTGGTTGGAACCCGGTTCAACACGTAGATCACAGACTCTAATGCATGTTCCTAAAAGGATATGGGTAACTCTTAGTGGATGAGGAGTGACTACACCATATCTAATAAAGTCCAATTTCTTTTCTATAATACACCATTTAATTATGGTGTAGAAGGAGGAAATAATTATGATATAATCCTATTGTCCTTTAAGTAGCCCCTGAATTTGTTAAAGATATTTTCACCTCCTTGATCTGATTGAAGGATTTTGATTTGTCTTCCTAACTGTTTCTCGACTTCATGTCTAAACTCCTTGAACTTTTCAAAGGATTCAAACCAATGTCTCATTAAGTACACGTAACCATACCAAGAATAGTCATTGGAGAAAGTTATAAAGTACGAGTGTTGATTCCATGTACTAATAATCATGGGACCACATACATCAGTATGCATAAGGTCAAGCATATTCGTACTTCTTTCAGGTTTATCTATACGTAAATGGCCTTTTTTTCCATCTTGCCTTAAAGGCAAGGTTCATAAGTTGGTAGATCTTCTATTCTTAGAAAATCTAGAAGATCATCTTTCACAAATCTTGTAATATGTTTTTTGTTTATATGGCTAAGTCGGTAATGCCACAGACATGTGTGATTAATCGTTTCTCATATTCTTTTCTTGGGGATGTGTTCCAACATCATTTTGGTCACATTTATTTATAAAGAAGTGTAGAGAACATAGAGACCATTCTCAAGTTCACCATGAGTAAGGAATTTGTTTGTTACTCAGTGTAATTGTAATCTTATTACTAAATAAAAAAGAATAACCATCCTTACAAAACTTAGAAACTGAAATCAAATTTCTTCTAAGTGATGGAACATAAAGACAATCTTTTAAAATAATAATCCCATCTCTAAAAATTAATTCTATTGTTCCTATAATAGCAACTGCAACAGTTGTAGATGTCCCCAAGTAGAGCACCACCTTGTCATCATTTAGCCTTCTACTTTCCTTGAACCCCTACAATATGTTACATGCATGAGTAGAAGCCCCAGAGTCAATACACCAGGATGCATAAGTGACCAACATATTGGTATCTATGACTTGATTTTCATAATTACCTTCTTTCTTCTTACTAAGGGATTCTAGATATCAAAGACAGTTCCTCTTCCAGTGCTCAGTCTCCTTGTAGAAGTGACTGATCTTTCTTCTGCTTCTTTTGCTTACCACCCTTCTTTCGAGGCATCTTCTTTCCCTTTCCTTTCTTCCTACTAGATTTTCCTTCTTCAACAAGCATGGCCACATACTTGTCCTTTCTGATCAGTTCCCTAGCTCAAAGCAGCATATTGTTGAGCTCTTGCAAGCTAACTTTTAGCTTGTTTATATTGTAGTTCATGACAAACTGATTGAAAGATGTGGACA